CACTAGTGTTCATATGTCATTGGATCACAGAGTGGCTTAACACAGGCTGAGGCATGGAGACCTATTCGTGTAGCCTTAAAAGATTTCAGGCAGTTGGCAAGTAAGAATTCTAAATAAAAATTGAAACTACCACCTGTATTTTTTCAGGCCGTTGATGCTCACTGCCATCAGCTGCATCCTCCCTATGGCACTGGTAAGTGTGGGAAGGGCTGGTGACAGTTTTGGTGGGCTGCTGGATTTCTTTTTTCTGGGGGAAAAAAATCTATTTGCAAGCTGTGTTGTTAACTTGTCCCTGAGGGCTGGACAGTGTTAACCAGCTATAGGAGACTAAAAAGAGGGACCATGCTCATGGATTTCCTTGGGGAACTGTTGTCAGCAGAGGCTGTTCAGTATGTGCCTTGATCCTTACATAAAATTAGCATGTTCTGTGCATTATTTTTAGTAATAAACATACACTATCCAAGTGCTCTGGGATGTCAAGTAACAACTTAAATTTCCGGAAATTCTTAAAACATTTTTCTTCAAAGATAGATGTTGTCTGTGTAGTAGACAGGGTCCAGAATGTCATGTGTACTTACGTTTCCCTCAGCAGCAGGATTGATCTCCCTCTGGTATTTTAAGTTCTTTATGGTCAGGGGATCGAGACATGTTTGTTCTAATGATTAATATAAATTTTTGATAGAGACTTGAAATTTTGGGGGGTGGGTGGGTGCGTAAAGGTTTGGTGGAAACCAGGAAAGAAATTTGTGGCTTATTTACTAACAAACTTCAGGTGGAGTCGGGGACCTGTGGTTTGAAAAGTTATTTTACCACAGCCTGCTTTCTGCTTAGGGACCTAATGGAGAAAACACACAGGATAAAGTTGAAACATAGAGCAGGGCAGCAAGTTACAGAATTGCTAAAGTATAAACTGGTAGCCAGATTGCTATTGGAGTTGCCTTTTACAAGCTTCTGAAATCCTGCAACTGTCTCCCTGTAATGAGTGGCTCAGAAGCCACACAGATTCCGAAGTTTTATTTTACCAAAGTGGTGTCCATTCCAAGCCGACAGTTCGGTGTTTACACTATTTCATTTCTCTAGTCTCTGAAGCCCTTAGATCATAGAAGAAAGGGCCTCTGGAATATCTAATGAAATGCTGAGGTGGTGGACTTGAGCGCTGTTAACCACGTCAGGAGCTGCTTGCTGGTAACAGTGGCTAAAGCATTCATGTACACTTAGCATCATTGGCCCACATCCTGGATTTCTCCTGGTCCCCACCCCCACCTTCTCAAGCCCTACTTAGGAAACAGGGATAGAACTGGGTGGCACATTTACTACATTCTTTATTTAAAAAAAAAAAAAATGGAAAGGAGAACTTGACTCCCCAGCAGTGGTCTCCTTTAGGTATCTCTGCACAGGTGGTAACTGCTGAACAGTTTTTGAGGGCCTGCGTCAGGGAAATATCTTTTAAGTGTCTGTCCCAAAGACCGTAGAGGATGACATAAAGTGTTTTTCATGCCACCTTTGAGAGATACTGTTGACCAGCAGCAAATTCTTTTTGGCATGCATGTAGCTAAGTGTTTCCCGGAATAAAGATCTAGAAACATCTGAGGGTGTTGAGATTGTAAATGCAATGGCAAAACAAAGCCAGATTTGATAGGTAATGCAGAGCATTGTCTAGGGCAAATGACAAGTGGTCCCATGGTTCTTTGAAGCTGGAGGGAAAGCTCCCCCAGAGGCTTCTGACCCGTTGTGAGTCAGGTTTGAGGGCACAGAGAAAGAGGGGAAAAGGACTTGGAAGATGAGCTGCGCTTGGCCTTTGCTGTGACCCCATCATCGACTCTGAAAGCTTTCTCTGTACCACCCAGAGATGAGGGCACTCTTCAGCCTTTGATGAACTTTATACCACTACTGACCTTCCCTTTCCCACCTTGATCAGTCACACTTCTTTCCCCATCTCCCAGGAAAAGTGAGAGAGGACTTCTTGTCTTTGGGGCTTATCGTTTCACTGACCAAGGCTCAGGCACAATGTGATTTCTCAGATGTAGCCCAGGGGGTGAAAGAAGGCAGGCCTGAGCTGTGCCTTGTGGAACTGTTGTGAAGTTATCAGCATTACAGACTCATGGGGAAGTTTCACCTATTTATGTTAAAATTTGTGTTGTGTAATCAGTCAAGCCTGTCAAAACTATGGAAAAAAACTCTTGAGTTTTTTCTTTTGAAGAGTAAGTAAAAGGTCAGAGTGAACTATTTCATGTAGTAGCATAAGGGTCAATCCTTTGTTTACTGTGATATTCATTTATGCAAGTTATTGTCATTGAATTAAATTTGACCAGCTTTCCCCCTTGACTTCTTTTATGAAAAATTTAAAGCACACAAAGAAGTTTAAAGAATTGTACAGTGGGCATCTATATACCTGTCATCTAGATTATACAATTTCTAACCTTTCACTACATTTGCCTGATCATATATCTATCAGTCAGTTTTATTTTTACGTAGCTTTATAGGAGTATTATTTACATTTCATTAAATTCACTCTTTTTAAAGTGTACTAGTACATGAATTTTAGTCAATTTCTATAACTATGCAGCCATGACCACAATTTGAGTTACAGAACGTGTTCATCACTCAAAGAGTTCCCTTGTGTCCATTTGTAGTCTTCACTCCCAGCCCCAGACAACTACTGATCATTTTTCTGTCTCTGTAGTTTTGCCTTTTCTAGAAATTTCATATAAGTGGAATTATATAACATGTAGTCTTTTGTGTCTGGCTTCTTTTCACTTAGCATAATGTTTTTGAGGTTCGTCCATGTTGTATCATGTCAGTAATGCCTTTCTTTTTATTGCTGAATAATGTTATTTCATTGTATGGATATATACCACATTTTGTTTATTCATTAGTTGATGGACATTGGGTTGTTTCCAGTTTTTGACTGTTAGGAAATACGCTGCTATGACTATTCATGTCCAGGGCTTTATATGGACATGTGTTTCCATGTCTCTTGGATAGATATCTAGGAGTGGGATTGCTAGGTCAGATAGTAAGTTTAAGAAATTGCCAAACTGTTTGCCAGGGTGACTCAGCTATTTTCCTTTCCATCAGCATTATAGAAGGGTTCCAGTTTCTCCACATTCTTGCTAGCACTTGCTATGGTTAGTCTTTTGGATTATAATCATTCTAGCGAGTATATATGGTATCTTGTGTTAATTTTCATTTCCCTAGTGACTAATGATATTGGGTCTTGTGCTTATTTGCTTCTTTTTGGTGAAGTGTCCAAATCTTGCCCATTTTCAAAAATTGGGTTGTCTTACTATTGAGTTGCGTGATATGTTCTGAATTAACTTCTTTATCAGATAAACGATTTGCAGTTATTTTCTCCCAGTCTGTGGCTTGTCTCTGGCATTTTCTTAATAATGTCTTTGAAGAGTGAAAATAATTTTGCTGAAGTCCAATTCATCAGTTTTCTCTTTTAAGGTTTGTGTGTGTGTTGTCGTATCTAAGAAATCTTTGCCTAAACCAAGGTTGCAGAGATTTTCTCCTAGGAGTTTTATAGTTTTCAGTTTTATATTTAAATCTATGAACTATTTTGAGTTAGAGGTGTGTGAAATAAGCATCTATGTTCTGTTTTGTTTGCTTATTTCATATAATGATGTTCTGTTATTCCAGAACCATTTGTTGAAAAGACTATCTTTTTCTTCCATTGAATTACCTTGGCACCTTTGTTTAAATTACCCATAAATATGAGTTTGCTTCTGGACTCTCGTTTCATTGATCTGTATGTCTGTCTTTAAGCCAGTACCCCACTTTCTCAATTATTGTAGCTTTGTAGCAAATCGTGACGTCAGATGGTATAAGTTCTTTGCTCTTCTCTTTCAAGCTTGGTTTGGATATTCTGGGTTTTTTACATTTCCAGACTTTAGGAACTCTGCTTTGCTTTTGATTAACTTTTGATTGCTCTGTTCAGTCTAGAGCTGTGTTATCCAGTATGGAAGCTATGACCACTTTTAGCCATTGGGCATTTGAAATGTGGCCCATTTTTATTGGTATGTATGATAATTCTAAAATAATACAATGAACTTTGAAGACTTAGATTTTAAAAAGATTGCAAAATAATTCATTAATTTTTTGTCGATTACATGTTGAAATAACTTAGATATTTTGGGGTTAAATAAAATATATTATTAAAATACATTTCACCTGTTTAAAATTTTAGTTTAGTTTTCATTTGTTCGCTGCTGCATAGAAATACATTTGATTTTTGTATATTGATCTTATATTTTGTTACCTTACTAAATTTTTAAATTAGTTTTAGAAGTAGTTTTGTAGATTCTTTTAGAATTTTCTGCATAAACAGTCATTTTATCTAGGAATAGAGACCGATTTGTTTTTTCTTTTCTAATCTTTTGTCTTTTGTCTTTTTTTTTTTCTTTTTCCTAGCCTTGTTGTCCTGGCTAGGGCCTCCAAAATAATGTTAAATAGGTGGTGAGAGTAGTCATCCATGCCATTTTTTGATCTTTGCATTAACTGTTTCATCATTGAGTATAATATTTTTCATTGCTGACCTATGTTAGATTCAGGCAGTTCACTTTATTCTTGATTTGGTGAGAATTTTTATCGTGAATAAATATTGAATTTTGTCAAGTGGGTTTTCTACATCTTCTGAAATGATAATTTGTTTTTTCTTCTTTTATTTTGTTAGTTCGGTGAATTACTTTTAGTGTTTTCAGTGTTACATGAACCTTCCAAGCTATACAAGACCTACGATAAACCTCACTTGATTATGATACATTGTCCTCTCTCTGTATTGCTGGATTTAACTTACTAAAATGTCTGGATTAGTTTTTGTGTCTATGTTCACAAGAGATATTGGTCTATAATATTTTTTTCTTTTTGTTATATTTTAGTCAGGTTTTTGTGTCAGGGTTATGTTAGCCTCATAAAATGACTTTGGAAGAAGTATACCTTCCTCAGATAGTTTCCAAAAGTGTTTTTGTAAGATTAGTGTTGATAGAATTCACCATTAAAAATTTTTGGATTTGAAATTTTGTAAGAAAAGCTTTGATCATGAATGTCTTACAGAGACATTTGTAAGAATGTCTTTGATACAGAGCTGTTCAGTTTTTCTTTTTAATTTTGTGTCAGTTTTGGTAAGTATTTTTCAAAGAGCTTGTCAGTGTCATCTAAGACAGTGGTCTCCAGTCTTTTTGGCACTAGAGA